CCTCCAGCCTCTTCACAGGATCGTAGTGCAGACGCAAAATCGGCTTTCTTTCCATTGGTAGCAAACACTTTCTCTCCTACTTTTCTTATTTTCCCATTCAAAGCAAGTGCTGAAACATGAGAAGAAAAAACCTACTTAGCTTTTTAAATTTTCTATGGCCTATTGAAGAAAAAGCAAAAAAAAAAAGAGAAATCGAGAGATGAAGAGAAAATTAAAAGTGGTAAGAGGAAGAGTAGGCAAAAATGAGAGTAAAAGATTAAGAGAAAAAAGATCTTAAATTTTACCCATCCACTAGTTTTTCCCTAAGTAGATTGTTATGCTCCTTGTGACCATTTGTCCTTGTCTCCAAGACAAGGATGCCCCACTCACATTTGCTGTACACTCTATGAGCCCCGTTATATTGAGTGTGCTTTCTAAAGAGGATCAGTTTACTTCAAATTTGGGCAAGTGAAATAGAGAAGTGATAATTTTTGTGAATTCTTTCTCAATAAGAAACAATTAACCACCCTCAACAATCTGGTTGCTGACAGTTAAAAATATGGAGTACAAAACTCAGGAGTTCCCATGAATCTGTGTGGAAAGTGCAACATCATTTGGAATATTTTTCAAATAAATCAAATTTTAATAAATGTGCATTACTGTTGCTAAAAGAAATCTGCTACTCCAGGGAAACAGGGTCTTGATTTCCCAAGTTTTGGATGAGAAAATGGAGTTTTGGGACTCAGTACCATTTTCAAATGCAATTTCTTTCCTATAAGTCATGAGTCTATAATTAACTTTGCCTATTGTGCTTAAAACTGTTTGTGAGCTGAAAAAGTAACAAGGGGAAGAATTACCAGCTTCAAGTTGGAAAAGTCGGTGTTCCAAATTTACTAAAAGATTGTGGTGTTCAGTGTCCAGAGAACCAGGTAGACCTATACAGATAAAAATAAAAGTTATACAGTCAAGTAAAACTAGGCTCTGCTGATAGGAACAATTGCTGTGATAAAACTAATACTTTTCCAGAACTAACTAGCATGTAATAGTATTTTTTTTACATCATCAGGTGTAAAATAAATATTTTCCCAGTAATTTTTTCATGTTGTTGTTAATCTATATAAAAGCAAACTAACAAAAACCTCCAACCCTCTAAATGCTACTAATTCCCCTCTGCACAGAAGCAACTGAATTTTTCGAGGTTGAAGAATTTTGTTTCCTATATTTATGAAAGTGGTTTTGCAAAAAAGAATTTGTTTCATTCTACTAAATAGTGGTGAACAAGCACAAGGGAGATTTTGGGGAGGGAACAGTTCCTATGACACCATACCATTTTCTTTTAATGTGCAGGGTGGATGCTTTGTGTTTTTATGGTGGGATCTTATTTTAATGAAGGCATAAACACTAGTAGAGGAAAGTTTCTGCACAGATAGTGTGAAATAGAGTCCATCCAGCAGTGCTTGCTAAAGTGGTACTTTAGAAGTATTGTAAAGCACTGTAAAGGTAGATTCCTTTTTCATACCCATTTCCATGGGTAATAAAAGTCTTACATGTAGAATAAAGTCACTAATGTGCTCCCATGATCATGTTCCAATTATTCACAACTGAAAAAAATAGCAATGTAGAACCACAAAATATTGCTGCATCTCCAAGTTGCAATTTTGCAACACTTACTGCACTTCACAATCCATTAAAAAACTCCCATATTTGACCTAATAGAGAGAGTTTATGAATAATTTTGATAGTGCTTTAGCCTTGTCAACAGACCTGGAGAACGCATTTCTACATAGAAGGAAAATTACACAGTGCAAAGTGTGTTCCTTACAAGTCTACTTTTGCACATACCATCTTTGAAGACTAGAGGAATATGCCAGAATCCTTTTAATTACACTTTTGAATATTGGATAACATTGCCTTCGTACTTAAAAAAAAAAAAAAAAAGATAACTTCTCCTGTGAAAGAAGCAATTCCCCTTGGAAAGTCAAAGGAAAAAGGACTGCAAAGACATATTTATATATATAATATTTATATCTTAAAGTATTTATAACCTATTCACTTCCCCTCTTCTCCCATATGAGAGAGGAGGCCTGGCTTTTGGGTGAAAAAAAATTAAACTGCCCCTTTCCTCCATTCAGTTTTCCTTCTTCTGCTTAACACAGCTGCTTCCTTGAGAGCACATGTCCTTCTGTGTCATGCTGCCTTCATGACAAGGATCTGGTGCAAAAAGGGAAGTTTACTTACCCGGTTCACGTGGCAGTCCTTTCAGAACATCTTTTCCAGGGATATCAGGTAGCCCAGAATTTTCTGGGCATTTACTCAATGCATGGCAAGTCACTAACGAAGCAGCTACTGCTGTGAGTACGTAGGATGAGTAAGACAACATGATTGCTCAGGCCAGCTGTAAGAAAATCCACGCATTTGTCAGGCAATGATTTTGTAAGAAATTTTTGGCATTGGCTTACATAATTGAAAATTCTGGAAATTTACATTATTTCCTTGTTTAAATACAGTCTATAGTTTAGGTGTAAGAGATTTCCCAGATTTATTTTCTACCATTGTGTAGCTTATACACGAAACTCTTTTTAGTCTGATTCAGCTTAACATGCTCATTACAGACTGATAGCCACACATTTGGGAGCAGTGAAGATAAATTATCTCTTTTGCTATCACTGACTATTTGTTGGATTAATCCTTGAGAAATGATGGGCTTGGATGTAACTGATCACACTTAAGGCCATTAGTTGGCTGTTAAGGACTATAATCACTCAATGATTTTATGATACCAACCTGAAAGGCACAATCTGTTACAGTGGTTATTGCAATGTTTTGGAGCTAGTTAGCAATCTCTTTAACCACAGTACTATTTAAGCACATTTGTTTGACATAAACAGACTGATAGAGTTTTACACACGGGTAAAATTTTATAGCTCAATTGACATTCCTATCTTGTTTTGAACAAAATTTCACAAGCTTGAAAATGTCAGAGTTATTCTTGTGGAAAATGCATTTTTGCTGGTTTGCAATAGGCCTATTCATCTTATTCTATCCTTTCAGATATAACATTAATCAGGGTTATAATCCTAGTGCTGAGATACCATGACTAAAAAGCACTCAAATTATATACATCATGGGTTTACAACATAGCAAGTGGGTATTCTGTGCAGTTATGAAACCTGAATTGAAGGACTGTAAGTTACTATAGCATGGAGATACCCAGTTATTGACATCATTCAGTTAAAATAATAAGAGATATAAAGCAAGGTTCAAGAGACCAGAATTGGTATCCATTTCTAATAGGTGATCCTGTTGGGTTGATTCTCATACAAAATATGTAACTTAATACCCATACTTCACTTTTCTATTGGCATGAATTAGAGAGGATCCTATACTACTCTCTCTCAAAAACTTCCATCCTTAAAAAAAAATCAGAATTGACAATCATAATATGTTCTAAATCCAACGCCACTCAAAATTGAAAATAAGACTTTGGTTGGCTTGAATGCTGCAAGATTTTAAAATCTGGGTTCATAAGTAATAAAAAGGTATTTGTTTCAAAGTATATATGCCAAGCAGAATCAAAATATCAGTTTATTACCATTTGTTAAATGGGCTGAACTTTTTGAAAAGAGAAGTATTGCTATATCTTCCAGATTGATTCTGTCATAGAAGAGTTTTGAGATTATTCTTAATCTTTATCAACACTAACTTGTTTTTCTAGGGGAATGTCTTATCAAAGTAAATTCAGTAGGACATACCCTTGAACATAAGAATATTCAATTATGTCATAAATTTGTAGCATACAGTATCTGTTTAATTAATAGCAGTATCTAGTCCTCATGGTCAAGAATTTCCACTTTAAAGAGTGGGAACACACGAGCAGTATTAAAAGTGCTGTTGAGTTTTGTCTGTTGAATCTGAAGTGTCTTGAGCTGTTTGCCCTTTACTATACTGAAGGCTAGCAGACACCTCTGAAAATGCTGGCCAATGACTTAGAGAGAGCAGATTATTAAACCTACCTTAGGTGGCTAGGAATACTTACATCCCTGAGATAAGCAAATGCAATTACAACATGTACCCTTTGCCTGATGATCATCAGTCAGGGAATTACATTTGAATGGACTACTGCATCCAGCTCATAATTGGATTATGATGCAGAGTCAAAGTCTTGATCAATTATAAAGCAAAATGGAATAAAACCCAGCTCTTCAGTTTTAATCCACTTTTAATGACCTTCATCAGTCATTACTATCTAGTGGCCTTCAGGCGTGTCCTCATCTACTAAAATTGCTAGTATAAGCAAAGTAAAAAATGACTAATAAAGGAAAATTTAATTTTAAAATGTAAGTATGACCACAGAAATAAAAAGAAATGGGTTTGCCTTCTAGCTGAAATTCCTTGTGATTTATGAAGAGGAATATCAACTTACCCTTCTGCTTCAAAGTGAAATGAAAGTGCAGTTCACACAAGTCCCCTTTATATGGTGTCATGTTTGTTGAATGACACTGCTGAAGTGGAGACTCAATGCTGAGGGCACAAATGTGTTTTTTTAGTTTCACTCACACATTTGTGATGCAAATACTGAGATAATTTTTAAGGCTTGAGCAATTTCTTATTCTTTTATAACAATAGAAAGCTGAAGTTGTAGAAAATACAACCTAGAACTAACAGATAACCCCAGATTTGTAGACACAAACAAAACGTCTAAAAACGTAAAGTAACTTTCCGTGATTCCAGGTCATATTGTAAAAATTGTTTCTCGTTTTACAAAAGCAAAAACGTCATATGACTATCAGTGGTTTTTGTGAAAGGAAAGATACTCCTGTGAATTAAGGAAGCTTGATACCTCCCAGATAGTCTGACCTGGAAGTCAGAATTCTAAACTTTGCTTCCCATCTCTGTGTGTGATGTACTTGCCTTACCTTAATATAATTTTCTAGCTGTGTGTTATGCTCAATGCTTCCATGAGCTTCTGGTCTCTCTTGCATGTGGAGTACCACTGATCCTTTCTTGGCCAGAGACGGATCTTGGAAAAACCTGTATATGTGCACAAAATTCTCAAATGGGCAATATTTTCAAGAAAAAAAGAAACCAGAGTTTTTGTTCCTCTGGTTTCCCAGGAATAAATATTGTGATCTTGTGAGTAACTTCCTTCTGGTTCTGATGTCTTCTATTGTAGGATGTTTGATCCTAGATGAAGTTTGTTTCATAAACCTCAGCAAGCCAACACATCAATCCCCCACCTGTAAGATAGAAATACCTCTGCTTTACAGCTGTTCTCTGTTTTGTCAATTTATACTGTGGTCTGTTAAGGATAGGATGTTCTCTACTTATCATTTGTATTTTACTAGAACTATTAAAGTTTCATCATGATCCCTAACTATAGTGTCTTTCTACCCAGCAGAACTGACAGCTGCAAGCTAACATCTTTAGGCTCCGTGTTCAGCAATTAAAAAGATGTTTGATATCAACTAGCTGACCTAGCTAAGAGAAAATTCCAAAGGAGGAGATATGTGAGGGATCCCCTTTAGAAGTAGTGTAGTTACTTAAATCCACACTTCCATTCACAACTGTAAACCTCACCTTGCAGTTAAAAATGCATTACTCAGCATGGTCTGTCCTCCCTCTCAAAAAAACCCCCACGAATAGCAAACTGAGGACAAATTGAGTGTCTTTTTTAACAAATTATCAATTAATATTCACAAACTTATGTTATAAACAATCTATCTTCAAGTCCTTCCTCTACCTGATACGCAGCAAAGCTTTGAATGCAGGTTAGTCATTTTACAAAACCTCTCACCTCACCAGTGGAAACTATTTCCCTCTGTAGTCCAGAAAAGGTAGATGAAAAGAACTGGTATTGAGTGTATAAGACATGGATTAGACAGTACCCAACACATAAAATACTTTTTTTTTTCCTTCTGAATCCCATTGCAGTTTGGGAATAGGACGGACACCAGGCAACTCAGCACCATTGAGACATAGGTAGTTCTGTTTCTGAAGGGTAGCAGACCTCTGGGGTACTTAGGAAATTTCTTTAGCTGCAGGATAAGATGAAACTTAATGGATTCAGATTTTGAGAAGTAATATTTTAAATTACTAGATGCCCAAGTTCTTGCCCATGTTCTAACTTGCCAGAACACCATCTCATACAGATCCAGTTTCTAGGCAGCTCTGCAACAGTTGTAAGGGTTAATTTTTCTGCTGTATCACTGCACCCAGATATCCTTCCCATGTAGATACATGCAACTTTAATACATGAACATGACATAAATCTCTGCAGATTTGGACTGTTTCTTCCACCTAACACAGTTTATAGTTATAAAAAATTAAATAAAGAACTGAAAATATTAAACAGGGAAATCAGTTAAGCCCTACCAGCTATTATCTCTGTCCATTCAGGATAGTGTGGCAGGAGCAAAACATGGCTTATAATGCAGGAAAACCTTATAAATTATTATCTCTTACCAAAACTTTCAAGGAAACATACATTTGATAACAGTTGTTCTCCCATGAGTCAGACTATACTTACACAATGGATGCTGATAAGAAATCTAAACCATAATCCAATGCGAGAGATTACTTAGCCATTTCCTTAGTTATGTGGCAGAGAATGAGGGAAAACAAATATACTAAAATAAGGAAGAAAGAAAGTAAATATTTTTTTCTGCAACCTAGCACCCCTGCAGAATAGCTACAAGGTATTCTGAAATTTGCAGGTAAAACTGTGTGGTAGTGGCTGAAGGTCTTTAGCTGGGAAACACACACAAAACCCAATCAAGGACCTTTACTGGTTTTAGGGGGCCTCAGGTACTGCATACCTCTTTCTATCATTAAGAAGAACAATAAGAATTTTAAATATGCTGTATTGTTAATGCCAGTAAATTAAACCCAAACCCTGCAATGGCCTCCTCAACCATCAGCAAAGGAGAACGTGGGGAAAAAAGGAATCTGATTTTCAAAGACAGCATGTACCCAGAAAGACTGCTTCTTTATATAACAGCTGTGCATGCTACCCTCAAAAACTAACCACCAAGGGGGGGCAAAAACCAGAACTAATGTTTTTTAGCCTTCACACCTCTCATTTTCAGAATGTAAGGTAAACTCTTCATTTTGGTCACACTGTCTTGAAGTGAGCTGATTACTGATTATGATAACTTACCATATCCTAAACAGCATGAAGTTATGCCACACTCAAAGCACAGTGCTGTACAGCCTTGCTAGTTTATTTTAGCAATTTGTGAGACATTAATCTCAAATGTGTCACTCTGCTGCAAGTTCCTGATACCAGATCTCTGAGCTTGTCCTTGGCACAATATCTGTGTAGCAAGCAGGTGTGGTCAATTCTCCACATTTACCTTGTTCAAAACAACAGTAGTTTTTAATATTTGCCTATTATGTCCACCGTAATCTATTTGCTGTGCTGCTACAGAGCTTTAAATCATACAGAGTTAAGTGCCTATAGTTAATTTTAAGAATTCTCATTGGCATCAGCTTAAGACCTCATGAGAAATATAGAGCACTAAACATATGTCACCTCTTAAATCATGAAACAACCCAATGGCTGAAGTCCAACCTCCTCTCCACCTGCAGTTTAACTTTACTGAGATAATATGGGAAGGTAAACAGTCCCCCCCTTTGGAAAATAAGAAGCACTGATAAAAAATTGGTAAGCTAATTTATAGTGCACTGATGCAGGAATGGGATGAAAAAAATGTAGAGAATATGGTACCTTACTACACTGCTAATACTGAAAGATAAGAAATTCTGCTGTAGGTAAGTCTTAAAATTTGTATTAGTGCTGTGTGTACCCTAGACTTGTGCCACTTTGAGGATAAGAATCTTACAGGAAGAATATGATTGCTGATGAGGCACATTTATATTTATGAAAAAACATGGCATCAGTGACATGTTGTCAGCTTAATAACACTCTTATTTTGGGCAATGGATCCAAGGTCACAGATTTCTAAGTTTAAATGTAGATGGAGGAAAATAAGGAATGCTGAATATAGGTCATGAGGTTCCCAAAAAGAGGATAGTGGAGATAGGGAACAGAGCTTGGAATAGTGGATTGTAAAGAGCTGGCTCCACTAGACTGTACTGAATAGCCCTCTCATAGCATTGCTATTGCAAAATACAGAAAGCATAAACTTAAGACAAAAAAACAATTAAAAAAAAGGCTTCAAGCAAAACACATACTCCTTTCAATTTATTTTCCATTCCAGGAAAAGTGATTCAAACTATACTATCAAGAAAAGAGATGACCAGGTTTTCAGAGCTTTTTTTAAAAAAACAGTGATTATCTCCAGCCAAAAAACTTACAACTTAAACCTATGTTAACAGAAGAGCTGCTTGTCCTTTGCTTTTAGATTATATTAGATTCCTTCTTTATCATAGGATTAAAGCAATTGATTTAAACTACACATCCAGAGTCAGCAAAGTATGGGACACCAGCAAAGCAGCCTCTCGAGTTATATGAAGATGGTAGGCAAGTTGCTAGAAAAGTCATTTGGACTGAACCATTATTTCTAAGCCTTGAAAAAAGAAAGAGAAAAAACTCAAGCAGAGCACATGAGCAAAGGCATCAAGCAGCTCTTGCTTTGACAACAGTATAGCAGATTTTTAGACACAGGCTTCTTCCTTCAGACAGGACAAGTACTCTCCCCTTCTGCCTTTCCATATTCTTTATCCAGGTTTAGTAAAGATTTAGCCATACTGTAATCAGCTTCTGTCTCATCCTTTTATAAACAAACAGAAACTCACAAATAATCTCATTCTAATTTCACAACCTAGTAATGATTTTCAGGTCTGTTTCTTAACTGTTTCACAGGTAAAGTTTAGAGAGATGGTATTCCTATGATTATTGAGGAACCACATTTTTATTTCCAAAGCATCAATTCATTCTTGTATCCTGTAGGTCATATTATCCACTCTATAATTCCTCCTTACATCTTCCACACTGTGTAAGTAGCCCTCTATGGGAATACTACATAACAGTATGGAAGAACCCTAATCTTTATTCAACAACAAAACAAAATTACTCACTGCAACATCAATTACGGGTGTCATGATGGAGTAAATATTGCCTGTTTTACTGGGAACAGTGGAAAGAGTTCTGCTCTTCCAGAGATGGAAGTGTCCTGCCACATTGTGTTCCCATAGAGGTGAACTGGACTACATCCCTCCTACCAAAAGTGGTAATAGGAAGCAATTTATGCTTGAACAGCCACTGGCCAACATTGCCTTGGAAACATATGCTTGCAATTCATATCTTGCCCTTATAAATAGCCACCTGGCCCCTGTTATCAATTTAAAATAATCTAGCCTCCAGATAGAAAAAAAAAATATCCTGCCAAGTTCTTATTATGTTGTTATTGCCAGGAAATGGCCTGTATTATGTCTCACTGATAAGTGTTAGAACATATATATCCAAAAGCATTGTCAACATTTTATTTGCCATTGAAATTCAAAGTCCTTGGGAGAGACTTCTTACTGAAAACACATGGCAGAAAACACAGAGTTGCAAATGAAAATAATAAACTCATCAAGCTGCTCTTAAGGTCTGATGATCACAGTGAAATAAAGCTGCTTTGCATCTTACTGAAGGGACACCAACTGGTCATGAATTCCCAGGAAACAGCACCTGTCATGGTTGTTATTGCTGTTATGAGCTGAAAATTAAGACAACAGGTATTATAGAATTCAATTTTGCACAGAATTTTTCAGGAGACTGAACACAAAATTCTGTATGTTTTAGCTGACTGTGTTGTTTGAAGCGTATAGAACTTAATATACTGAATCTGCTTCTGTTGTAATGGCCCATTTTTAGATTCTAATCAGTGTAAAAGCATAGAGGAACACTTTAGAGATCTCTGGTAGCAGACAGCTAGTAAGGCACTTCATTATTTCATTTCCCATGGAAAGCAGAGATCCTGAGCACCTGAGGGGTTGGTGAAGCCCGGCCCTGCATCCATCCAGCTCCTGCAATTCCATGTGGTGGTTTTGTGCTTCACCTCCTGAGGAGCAGATCTCAGTTCCCAGGGCTGGGGGATCAGGCAGCAGCAGCAAGTGGTGCTTCAGGGCCCCAGCCCTTGCCAGGCTGAGCTGCTGCACTGTGCTCTGCCTTTCAGCAACAGTGTCACACAGCAAAGACTTCTGCCTGTAAAACCCTGGCAGCTCCAAACTAGCCATGCTGAGCATTACTAGGGGGATAGCTGGAGTGCTGAGATGCCAGAGAAAGGCCACAGACTGAAGTGCCCAAGAAAGAAGGTTGTCTCCTTACCTTTTATTGATACACCTGAGCTGACTTGAAACTATATAAGGTGCAGATATTGCAGCCACTTCAGTGCAGAAATGTTCTTGGAAGATTCCTGTAAGGGAAAATGAGAAGAGCTCTATTTAAACCCCCTGGAAGTTCATCTAGTAGATAAAAACCAAGGAACAGATGAAGACTCAGAGAAATAGAAATAAAGCAAATAGGAAAGAACAGAGTTCTACAACCTCAGATTCTCTCTGGAGAGATAGGGACATCTTGAATATTGCTTGAGGCCAAAATGATTCAAACTGAAACTGTTTAGTAGGTTATGAAAACACAGCAGACGTAACTTGAATGACAAATCAAAGAGAATATTTAATAATTCTGAGAAATATAATAACCATGAATGTCAACTACTTAACTAATAAAATATCATTTTGTTATTCCATGGGGGTCACCCCTTTCAGCCTTTATAGGAGCTTTATGTGTAGTTTTGAAGATTTAACACTATTTTTCTTAATAAGACAAAAGAAACTCTACAAAATTTTTAATAATAATTTCAGCTACCTATTGAAATCTATTAATTATATTTGTTTATAAATTTGTTTTAGCATTCAATGCTCTGATTTGAGGAATGATTCTAAGAGGTTGGCATGCAGCAGTCTAGGCCCTGTGTGCTCAAGCAGCTCACAGACTGGTTAAAAAGCAGTTATCCTATTCTTAGTGAGGCAATGTGAACTACAGCCTGGCCTAGAGATTTCATATCCATTCTGCTAAGCATGACAAACACACACACATCTGTACAATGCTTTATGTGTTTCCCCACAATTTCTCCATCTGAAATGCAAAAGCACAAGCAGCATCTTCAGTTCATTTTGTCTCAGATCCCAATGTATGTGTGTACCATGCAACTACACAGCCATTACCTCATTCCACTCTTATCTCCACAGCAGTGATGTAGTAGATTGCTGGCCTGTCCATACTGTTCTGGAAATACAAACAGCAGCACAACCATGGGCACCCTTCCTGTTGATTATGTTTTTCATTTGTTCTGTCAGACATGAGCTTCCAAAAAAGTGCTGAACCAAAACAAATCTTTCGGCATTGGTGTTGCTCATATACACCACAGGTACAGTGAAGTCTACTTAAAGGTCTCAACCAATATCATCAGATAAGTTTGTCAAATCACTGGAGCAGCTGTTGTCCTGCTAATAATATTTTCCTTTTCCTGCCTTTCTCCCATCTCCTGAAACTCTGACTGTTTTCTCATGTCTATCACCAGTCACATACTTGCCCATTCTCTGAATATTATTGTTCACATTCATGAGAGGTTGTAGCATTCCCTCTATAAAAGCAGGCTGTGACATCTTAGAACCTCTAGTTTGTGAGGGAATGGACTGCAACAGAGACACATGCAAACATCTGGCAGACAGGAATATTCTTGTTTCTCAGGAGTGGGAATCTACATAAGAACACTTCTAATATGCTTATTTTTCAAGCAGTCTCATTCCTTGTCTGTCTTACCAGACCACCTCAGGGATTCAAGCTCAAAAATAAGTGTAGCATAGTTTTTTCCCTAAGTGTGTCTTTTCAGATGTGTGTTCAACCCTGTGCAGAGCCCAGCCTGCTGGGTACACCGAGTACCTCTTTCACAAGGTCAGGCCATTTCCATTGTTCCCATGGACAATCCTCTAAAGCTGAAGTGGGTTTTAAGTATTAACTTGTAAAATTTAATATTCAAAACCTGAAGAGCAAAAAACCTGTGCTCCTGAATGTTTTGGTACCAGTGTTACCATGCCAATGGTACTTTGCATTTCTCTAGCATCTATTTTTCCACACAAATAGAGCTCAACTGTCTATTAACATCTTTTATATTCTTTTACCTTTCCAGAGGAACACATTGTGCCACTGTAACAGACATAAGTGATGTAAACTATTATACTTTTCAACAACTCGAACAATTGCCCAGAATAAAGACCAAATTCAGAACTATTCTGAGAGTATTTGACAAACCACAGGACTGCAGTATTCAAAACCTCTGGAGAGCTCACAGTAACTTAAGACAGAGTGTAATATACAATTTTCAGTGAAGTGATTTATAAGCACTGTAGACAACATGTGAAGCATTTCTTAAACAGCTTTTACAACTGCTATTGTGTGATGAGCTGGCAGCTTTTCTTGCCATGCAAAGTCCTGCAATACTGTTGCTGACACTTCATAGAATCAGCTGGGTTGGAAAGGACCTCTGTGATCATCAAGTCCAACCCGTCATTTTTTTTTTAATTTTTATTTTTTTTTTTTAGAAATCCAATACGTGTTTTCCCCCATTCCGTACTCTGGACAAAATCCAGGCCGGGTCTTCCCCCATTCCGTACTCCGGACAAAATGCAGGCCGTGTTTTTCCCCATTCCGTACTCCGGCTGAAATCCAATCCGGGTTTTCTCCCATTCCGTACTTCGGACAAAATCCAGTCCGGGTTTCCCCCCCAAGCAGCCCCGACAGAGGCACCTCAAGGTGTGAACCCCCCAAGGTGACACCAGAACAGTGTTTTACTTATTGTAACAAACACGGAGGATCATGATGCAATGAATTATTTCCAAAAAATCAGCCATAACCCTTGTAACTATACAAGCACGCAAGGAGTAAATGCAGTATAGCAGCGTGCATCAGGCACTGGTGTCCATCTCACACTGGTGTGAAGCAGCCATGTTACTGTATCAGTTTCAGAATGTAATGGGGATCCAGAAACATCTGTGATGGCTTTTAAGAGAGCCCTAGAGAAGTGTTCTACAAAGGGTAGATCAGTGAAGCAGTATAGCACAAATTTATTGCTGTCAAACCAGACTGCTACTCAGTCTACAGCTCCAAGATGTCGAGGGACATCTTTATATCCTAAATAA